AGAAGCTTCTTGCGGGGCTCTGACCGCCCAGCCAGGAGAGGGGATCAGCCTGCAGCATTGCAGCAGCTGTTTGCATACAAACTGTCAACTGCCCAGTAAACCCTTATATAAAACAAGACAAGTGGGGAGAATGGTCCTCTGGGGAGATGCTTGGAACAATAAAATCCTCCTTCTAATCATCTCAGGGCAGAGGAAGCAGGGATTATTAAATGGCTTCTTATAGATCTTGAAAACTGGCCAGATCCCAAGGCTTGGCTGTTTCAGCTGAAGGCTTTAAATCAGCCTGCACGAGCTGGGTCCAGGCGGCTGGGCTCCCTGCATGTTTATTTGTGGCAGAGAGGCTGCCGGCTCCGTGTCGCTCTGCTGCTGCCCTCGGCCACACAGGAACGGCGATGGGCAGCGGCCAAGGTCCCCCCGTGCCACTTTGGACCAGCAGCCAGCGGTCCCAGCCTGGGAGCGGTGGTTTGTGTTTCACCTGCGTGTGGCAGAGCACAGGTAACCGGGCTGCTGGTGCCCCGCGGTGCTGGTTGGTCACCCGTGCTGGTTCTGTGCGCCCTTGAGTCCCTTTCTCCTTGCTTGCCGCAGCAGACCCGCAGAAGCAGGGGCTCGTGTGCTTTTACCACAGCGCTTGGGGGTGGCCTGGGCAGACGTTGCGTTCCTCTGTTGCCTCCCATCGCACGTGCCATCCTTCTGCTCCGTCGTTTGGCCTGCCGTCCAGAAACCCTGCGTTGTGTACAGCCTCGTCACCGCCGCCCCTCTCCTCGGGTAGAATGGACCACGGCATTTCACAGCCTGGATCTGCTGCCGTCGTTTGGGACCTCGCGAGGCGAGCACGGCGCACGTTCTCTGGCCGAGCCGGAGCTGTGCAGGAGCAGAGTTCTCTCACGATTTCATTGTGAAATGTCATTGCAAACCTTGTCACGGCTGGTCACTTCCCCCATTCCCCAACTGCTGGAGTCACGGGAACGCTTTAGAGTTTCATCTTTCTGTTTAGATGAAGTTGTAGACTTTGTGGCTAAAAACCTGAAAACAGGATCAAAAGGAGTCAAGGGACCTCCAGATCAAACACGATGCTGGCATTGAAACCCCGCTCCTGACAGAGCCTCAGATTATCACTGCAAGATAACCTGTTGTGAGACAGCGCAGGAAACAAGGTGCAAAGAAGCAGCCTGCAGTCTCCACAGTCCAAAAATCAAACCCAGTGCTTCGTGTTTCACTTTAAGCTGCTGCCGTCGCTCCAGGGCAGGGGTATGACCTGTACCCCCTGCTCCTGATCCCTGGGGGTTCCCAGCCCCTGCGGTCAGGCCAGTCCTGGCCTTCTGCTGCGCTCACCAGTGAGGGGCCAAATGTGACGCTGCTCGTCATGCTATGGGCGAGGCTGTTTACTAGTAAGAGGTTTGCAGAACCTGCAAAGGACAACTGCTTCCTCCTCCTTACCAGCTAAACCTAGTTTCTCCCCCATCAGCTAAACCCGGGTGTTGCTGGCTATTGATTTCAGGGCTGAGGGAGGACAGACAAGTCGTGGAGATGCAGTTGGAGGGACGAGGGAGAGGAGAGACAAGACATTGCTTGAAGGAATCTGTCTGCAGTGGGGAGGGATCTGGACCTCGGCATGTTCCTGTGCTGCTGCAGTTGTGATATGACCTATGTGCACTGGGGGAGAAAGTGCAAGGGATGATTTTTACACGCACACCCTTTTTTTTTTTTTTTTTTTTTACGCAGACCACTACATGGCAAAATTAACAATCCTACTGTGGCCATTTCTCCATTGGCAGTGTTAAGGCGCATGGATTAACTTTAACACAAGGCAGTGAGGGTCCATCAAATTGGAATAACCTTTCTAGCTGGTTAAGATGGCTATTGGAAAGGAGGCATTATAAGAAACGTTAATGGGATGAATCCCAGCAATTGTAGACTCAGCCATGGATGGTGCAGTGGGAAGCCCTGTGGCTTCCTCCAAGTTTCCCTCATGCAAGACCTTAAAACCCCACAATCCTGCCCATGCTGTGTGGCCACTGCCAGCTGTGAGCACCTGCAACTTGGGCTCTCCAGGAGCATCCTCTCCCAGTACATCCATTCCAGCTGCCTCCCCTTTCAGGTTGAAGCAACTCCTTTGCTACAGTGCCGTCGTGAGGCCGCAGTATGGGTGCTCTGGCCAAGAGCCCATTCCTGAGCAGGCGACAAAGGGGACAGTCCCAGCAGTGCTGCAAGACCCTGCTGCTGTGCAGGCGATGTGCCCCTGCAGTTCCTGGGGTAAAAGCTCTCTTTTTCTTTAAACTTGGTAGCAGCTCTTCTGGGGACTTCTGCTCGGTGGCTCCCCTGTACGATTCAAGGCTGGGTCTGGGCTGGCAATAATTTTGTTAGCTAGGAGGGCAGTGTGGGGAAGAAAACCCTCCTAGAGAAATCTGGCCACTGTACCCCTAAAGCTGGCGTGGAAAATAGTGTGCATGGAAGGGGGTAGTCACGCACAAGAAGTGGATGGGCAAAATAAGGCAGTGTGTGTCTCCTTCACCAGTTTCTCCAGTTAGCGCCCTGGGGGCCACCCTTTCTTTCAGGAGCACTGCTTTCCATGTACCTGCCACCAGTTTCTATAAAGCTACTGTTTTCCTTGCTGAAACAATAGTCACTTTGAGACCAAATCAGTGAGCAGGAGCCGAGATACGCTGTCTGAGCAAGAACATGGTCCAAAATCTTTCTTTTTCTCTTCCCTCAGGCACAACTTCTGTTTCCATGGAGGTGCTGTTCCTACTGCTGGCTGCTACCTCTGTCCATTGCAATTTCATTACACACTTCTGCAGGCACTTCTAATTCTTGCGATGCTGAATGCTCCTAGAGCAGCTAGAGTGCTCATCATGCCATGATGGCTGAATGGTTACATGACTTTCTATGCGTCCTGTAAAGGACTACTGTTTACCTGATGAGAATGAGCTACAGAAAATAAAAGCTATACTAGACTTGTTACTGTTAATTTCAGTGTCCCTCACCTAAAATGCTCTCAGATCAGAGGTTTCAGATAAACCAGCTCTGATTGATTGCCAATGCAATTCTTCACAGGAGTGGGAGGTGAGAATGTCTCTTCACACCTGTGTGCACACGGGTAACTGACATTTGATTTTGTTTGTCCTGCAAGGAAAATAAGAGTCAATGCTGAATGGCTGATGACCGCTTTCTACGCAGCCCTGAACAGCAGCACATGGCAGAGCCTGCCTCACCAGAAGGCACTGAAATTACTCAGTGACCTTTGTTTTCCTGAATGCTGCCCGATCTGTGCAGAGCAGAAAATTTCCTGCCCACGGTTTGAGCACAAGAGTTTTGTCAGCAAAGGTGCTGAACTGTGTATTGCCCTTAGGACCACATAGCTGCCTGGGAAGATTGCCTCAGATGATGTATTAGCAGTAAAAGATCTGGACTATCATCCCTGAGTTATTTTGTCTCTGGTTCCTCTTTGGCTACTTATCAGAGTTGTCTGAAGCCACTGATCAGGACTGGGTGGCTGGTCACCAGTCACCAGCCACCCAGGATGCAGGAAAAAGAATTCCTATGGGAGTATCTAGAGAGGATAGTTCTTGTGCGTAATGAACTTATGGTAGTTCATGGACTAGACTAGTGAGGATGTTAAGTCAAGGGGACACTGCTTGAGGGAAAGTACTCGTGCTTGTGCTGGATTGTTCTAGAGCCATTAGGCTCATTTTTGCTCCTCATGGCAGAGTAATGCCTGGAACAATTTAGATTCAAGTCTGTGAGTCTGATTGTTTCTCAAAGACCCAAGAAAGAGACTTGTAGTCAGACATGGCAGAAATTTGTTAAATTACTAGCAAGCTGCTTCAGACTGTTATTGTCCATAAATGTTTTCCACTTGTTTTCTCTTCCCAGAACCTTCCCCTGGTTTGACTTGACAGCTGCACAACTGAGAGAGTCTCCCTTTAGCCACCTGCTAGAAAAGAGTGAGCTTGTCTGCTGCTATTTTGCTCTATTATACCTGGCATCCTTTGGAGACTGGCCTACAAAGCAATGATGTGGGCTGATCAGCACCAAGACATCTCTTACTTTAGCTGTAGTGGAGCCTTCTGTGATGTTGGATGACAAGTCTCATGATAAAACTGTCTCCACAGCTGCTTCTGACATTTTCTCAGAAATTCCAGAGGAAACTGCTGACTATGATTCTAAATCCTCATAAACTATAATGAAGTCCATGGCAGAATGCTTTTCTGAGATCTTATCCCTCTCATGGGACTGAGGAGTGCAAGAACCAGCACTGTTAGCTCTTGGACTCTTTAAAATATTCCCGCTAATAACCCTATGTACACATTTGCTTCTACAAGTTTCACACTCTTGACTGCTCAGCAAACTTGCTTCTCTCTGGCTTCCTGAGTCTTGCTTTATTTTGGTCTGAATTTGCTTATTACATAGTCATCTTGGCCTATGAACTGCTTCAGTTTCACTGGGTTTCTGTTGCAGTTTCAATAGAAAAATGAATCACAAAACCAAATTACAGTTATTTTGTAGTGACTACAGCTTTGGCGTAAATAACTAAACAGGATTGGGCCCAGTCTTTTTTTTTTATTATTATTTTTTATTTTCCCATGGGGGATCTTGAGGAAGCTGTTGATATAGTAATGATTTAGCCAGGCGCACTCTTCCTGTTGAGCCAGGCTTTAATCAGCACTTATTCATACTTCCTTGCTGGTGATAATGCACCCCACCACAGACTATGTGATACTTCTTTCAAGGAAAAAGGAGGTAACTGTATATGCTGTCCAAATCCACCCAGGACAAAGCATTTTTTGTTCCTTAAATTCTCTAGTTCAGCTTATGGTATTCTCTTATACTTCCTGCTGCCATCTATCATGTTTCAGTACTGTTTACTGTAATAAACCACTGCCTGGTTTTGCCTCACAGGAAATAATTTCTGTGGTGAGGCCAGGGATTAGTTGTGCATGTTGTAACTAGGCCTCTCTCGCTTAATTATGATCGCCGACAGCAGCTGGCACAACACCTATATACCAGTTATTGTATATGCCACTTATCCTACATCTGGGCTTTACAGTGAGCCCAGTCTGCAGACACTAAAGCCTGGGAGAAATCTACTCACTTGCACTGCAGGGAAGTTGTTATCAATCACTGGTAATTAAAATATGTCTATGATTGTTTTTTGGTCTTTTTAATCAACTGTGAAGCAGAAGTGAAAGACAGACAGTGGTACAATCTGATTTACAGCTTCTGCTTCACTTAGTTCCTGGAAGCAAATGAAGGATTGCAGAAAAGAGCCCATGTGGGGATATGTTTGCTGTTATCAAATGGCTGAGAGCTTCAATGGCCTTTTCTATAATTGGGGGAAGGTGGAACTGTACTTCCTAACTGCAAGGTAATAAGGGTATATTCTGCTATCCCTGCTGGGCTCCTTACAAAGGTGGACGTGTGGTTTGAGTCTCTAATCCTGCCTCTGGGTGCCCTGCAATACAGGGGGAGCATCTCCTTCTACCCTAGTCTGGGCTTGTTGCAACGGAGCAACTGTAGCATAGGGCTCCAGTCCTGCTTCTTGGATAAACTGTGAGAAAGCGAGGTCATCTGCTTTCTTTCCTGATCGTGACTTTCGCTCCAGGAAGAGACCCCTGTTGTCTCTGTATGGGAGAGCAATGGATCTGCTGAAGAGAGGCTCCTCAATCCCCAGCAACTCTCGCACATGTCGTGAAATCTCCTGAAATACAAGAAAAAATACCAGAAATTCTCATTTCAGTTAATACCATTCATTCTGTGTCAGAGCAGCAAGAAAAAGAACTGAATTTCTTTATTTTGTAACTGTTTCACACTTGAAGTTGCAACTCGAGAGGGATCTGAACCCATGAGCTCCATGTGACAGTGTAAAAGCTGAGCAGACCTCTCATTCTCCAGATTTATTAGGGGGTTGTATTGGGTTTGTATGACAAGGTTTTGCCAGCAGGGGGGCTACAGGGATGGTTTCTGTGAGAAGCTGTGAGAAGCTTCCCCTATTCCAATAGAGCCATGCCAGCTGGCTCCAAGATGGACCCACTGCTGGCCAAGGCTGAGCCCATCAGCGATGGTGGTAGCGCCTCTGGGATAACGTATTTAAGAAGGGGAAAAAACTGCTGCGCAACAGCAGCCAAAGAGGGAAGTGAGAATATGTGAGAGAAACAGCTCTGCAGACACCAAGGCCAGTGCAGAAGGAGGGAGAGGAGGTGCTCCAGGCACCAGAGCAGAGATTCGCCTGCAGCCCCTGGTGAAGAGCATGGTGAGGCCAGCTGTGCCCCTGCAGCCCATGGAGATCCACACTAGAGCAGATCTCTACCTGCAGCCTGGGGAGGACCCCACGCCAGATCAGGTGGATACCCAAAGGAGGCTGTGACCCCATGGGAAGCCCACACTGGAGCAGTTCTTGAAGAACTGCAGCCTGTGGGAAGGAGTCATGTTGGAGAAGTTAACGGAGGACTGTCTCCCATGGGAGGGACCACAGGCTGGAGCAGGGGAAGAGTGTGAGGAGTCCTCCCCCTGAGGAGGAAGGAGCAGCAGAGACAACATGTGATGAACTGACCACAACCCCCACTCCCTGTCCTCCTGTGCTGCTGGTGGGGGAGGTGGCAGAGAAAATCAGGAGTAAACTTAAACCCAGGAAGAAGGGATTGGTGAGGGGAAGGTGTGTTTAAGATTTGGGTTTATTTCTCATTATCCTACTCTGATTTGATTGGTAATAAATTAAATTAATTATTCCCCAAGTTGAGTCTGTTTTGCCCATGACGGTAATTGGTGACTGATCTCTCCCTGTCCTTATCTCGACCCACGAGCCTTCCATTACATTCTCTCTCCCCTGTCCGGCTGAGGAGGGAAGTGACAGAGCGGCTTTGGTGGGCACCTGGTGTCCAGCCAGGGTCAATCCACCCCAGGGGGATGGCATCACACCTGGGCACAAATAGCTCTGCTTTCCTCTTTGCACTTCCAGAACAAACAGGCTATGGGTCAATGAGCTGGAGTCTATTCTGCCTAATCCAAAACCATTGTTGTTTGCTAAGTTATGTTGTCAACAACAGAGTCCGTGCACAGAAGAGGTGTAAAACTAAGCCATATTGCTCATTAAGAGCAATAAATAAAATAAGCCATATTGCTCATTAAGAAAATGATGAGTGACTGCCTGGTTGAGCCAGCTGGACCTGGAACTGTCAGTGAACAGAGCCTTGCCCTTTTTTTTGAAGTCAATTCTGAGAATGTAAGCTTCTAATTTGACTGAAGCTTCAAAATACAATTCACAAATCTTTACTGATCTTTCACAGCATTTGCTTGAAACCTTCCCCCAACTTTGGTTTGACTCTGAAGAGCTGTACCCTACTTTATGTGATATCAGAAGAACACCAGACTAGTATCATCAGTGGTTTTGATGTTTAAAATTCCAGTACAGTGGAATTAAAACCAGCAGCTACTTCACTTGTCCATGCTGCATAGCTTCCACATAATTCACTGTGTAGCTCTACCAAACTGACATTTCCCCTAAATTGCAAAAAGTTTCTATCTCACTGAGCTGATGCTATCGCATTTATTTCTATAGTAACTATCTTGGTTTCGACTGTTCACAGCCTTTCATAGATATTTTGTGTTGGGAAGCTGATGTGCCCAGGATTATGGCCTTAACTTTGCACCCGCCCTAGCACACACTTCCTGAAAGACCCAAAGGGACACATTCTGCTCAGAGCTCTGCATGCTTGGATTGTATCAGAGTAAAGTTCCCTAAAACACAAATAACTAGCAGCATAGGGCATGATCTTCAAGAGCATCTAAGTTCCACTGAAGTCTGTGAGATGTTCCCAATTCACTTGAAACAGTTGGAAAACATTCCAGAAGCAGTCTCATTTCCAAGCTTTCTGCATTATGCTGGCTATCGCTTAACCTATCCCTGATGAATTTCCGTTTCTACAGGAGGAAGAACGGGTTACAGTTGGTATCTCTAGCCTGTGGCTTAGTGTTTCTCAGCAGTTAAACTACCACCATACATAATCCTTATATCCCAATGCGACGGTGAGGTTTACAAAGCCTATAAAATTCTTGCCATCTTTGGTAAGTGCAAATGACTATAAAGGCTGTATCTGCATGTACTAGAAATACTCTTGAAGGGCTGCTGTCTGAAAAACTAAGCATTGTAATTTGAAGCCTTCTCCTCCAACCAACAGGCAAAGCCATGGCACTAGCCAATGTTTTTGGTGGCTTATGTTGTTTCAAACAGTTAAGATTGTGCAGCCAGACAGAACTGTGGTGAAATCGCTTTTTGGTGCTCTGGAATAAAACAAACAGCATTCATACTCTAGTCATTGGAGCATAAAAATTTTTCTCTCTTCCTGGTTATTTGTACTTCTACCTTGTGTCCTCTGGGGAAAGCAACTTTAAATCATGATGCGAAACAAACTATTTGGCTCTGTAATGCAGCCCCGAGTCCCTCTGTGGTTTCCATTAGGGAGGGGAAGGAGGGTAATGAAATTTAAGTAAACTTGCTTATTTTCTGAACTTTCAGGAAGCTTTGGAAGGCCAGACTGTAGCCCCAAACTTCAGTCTAGCTATTTTAACTATCAGTGTTTGTTAAAGAAAAGATGTAGGTTTGAAAGGAAAATGACCAGACAATTACATGTTTATACAATGAGGAAGAGACAGATGCTGTTTGTGCTCAGCAAAGTGTAAAACAAGGAAGTAATAATATGTTGCTCTTCTGCTGCTTGAGATCAGTGGCTCAATTGCTGCAGGGTAAGTCTGACTAGATTTTTAGAAGTTCTACAAATCATTATGTGGAAAATTACTGAAAAGAAATTCTGAGAGATATCTAAGATAGGAGATTGATAAGCAATTTCATAGGGCAAGAGGAGCAACACAGGTTTAAAGAAAGGCTAATAAGCACTTCTGATGTACTTATGGTGTCCCAGAGAGGAAGCCTGCTATCTTCCCCCGGCTAAGGATTTATGCTTGAAAAGACTAAAGAAATATAACTGACTGAACAAATTTTTTTGTCCAGTTTCAGGCTCACCCTTTGAATAAGCAATCTGCCTGGGCGGACAGGCTATAGCCTAGCTCGCTTGCAAGCAGAAAGGGTCGGAGCAGGGCTCCGAAGGGCTGAGCAGGGAGCTCCGGGACCCGCAGCCGGCCGCACCTGCATGTGGCCGAAGTCAGTGACGCCCATGGCGGGCA